GAATGGGGAGGAATTCAATCATTTTTTTACCAAGGTGGAGCATGTTGGTGAAAGTACACAATCAGCAACAAAGAATATGTTGCTGAAAAGTGCAAACCACTCTCTCCCCCTAACTTTTACCAAGATAAGCCACGTTGCTGAAACCCTATTTTCAGCAACGTGACTTTGCTTGCTAAAAATGGACCAGAAGTGTGGGGGGGGAATCCATCCATTTTTTTTTACCAACATGGAGCATGTTGGTGAAAGTATGCAATTAGCAACAAGGAATATATTGCTAAAGATAAGGTTTCAGCAACGTGGCCTTTCTTGCTGAAAATTTGATAAAATTCCGGTGACAAATTCCGGCAAGATTTCTCCAAGTTTTTAGCAACATGAGCCACATTGCTGAAACTCCATCTTTAGCAACATGGCCTATGTTGATGAAGGGGGTGAGAAATTTCACCTCCACCGCTCACCAGATTCCGGTGAAAGTTTTCAACAACATAAGTTATGTTGCTGATACTTTTTTTTCAGCAACATAGCTTATGTTGCTGATATATTAGCAACATGATTTTGGTTGGTAATGTATTACCCACCAAGCCTTCTCCAACAAAACTTTGAGCAACCAAACCCATGTTGCCGAAGGACTTTTAACAACATGGAAGGCACTTTCAGCAACATGCTTCCATGTTGCTAAAAGAGAGGATTTTAGTAGTGAAAATACCATGAGAAAGGACCAAAAGAAATGGCTAAGAACATTTTAATTCATGTTTTAAAATAGGATATTTAATACTTTTTTAATGAGAATTTATTAAAATAATGTAATGTGTATCTTTTATAAACCAACTTTATATCTTACATAATAAAATTAGAAAATACAATCATTTTTGCAAAGTACAAGTTCTTAACAAAATAATTATAAAACTTAAATCAAACTCTTAATAATTGAGAGACCCTTCAAAGTAAATTACTAGTTAATTAGTTTGATGTACCATGTAAATTACCAATACGAATGAAGAGTGAACTTGATGACAAACAAAAAAAAAAAGAAGAAAAAAAGCCTGCACTTGCAACCCTGGGTGGGTTGGCAAGCACACCAAAAACCTTCCCTAATCCCCTAAGTTTTAATAAATAAAAGGATAATGCTATATGGATAAATTTTTTATATTATATTTTAATATAATTTTTACATATCATTAAATAAGTAGATGCATGCAATATTATGAGTTTCATCTGAATAAAAAGAACAAATTATTTAAATGACACGTCAAATTATATTAAAAAATAATACAAAAAATTTGTCTCAAAATTATTTTCTAATAAAAAATTGCAACTGAAGTTTGAAATTATAGAAGAATTACAGTCCATGTCTTGTTTTCATCACATTTTCACATGACCAATATCTCTTTAGATCCATAAGTCTCTCCTAGAAATAACAAACTTGATAATGCAATTTCATGTCTGACAACGTTAAATAAATCAAAATTTTTGATGTTTTCAAAATTCACCGACAATGAGAGTTGGGAAGAGCACCTGCCATTTCTGCAGAGGGAATCACTAATTTTTAGGCAAAAGGACAAATCAGCCCTTATACAATTCAATTGGTGGCAAATTAGCCCTTCAATTAAAATTTGATGCTTTTAAACCATTGTACTCTTAGGATAGTGGCAATTCAACTTTATTTAACAGGTACGTTAGCAATCAGTGGAATTTAACAAAAAAATGTGTTAATGTGGGCTCCATAGCTGAGTTGGAGGCCATTTGCCCCTTTTAATCTGACATGGCTTTATATTTCATAAAAAATGATATAGTTAAAATATTATATGATATTTTAAATTTACAACAGAATATATTATTATATAATTAATTTTGTTCATTTAGAAGTCTACTTATGATATTGTCTATATCTATTTATTTAATAACATATTACACTCATTTAATGTCATAT